TTTCTTCTTTTCCTTTTCTTGTCTTTTTCTTTCTTTCTCTCCCTTTCTTCTTTTCCTTTTCTTCTTTCTTTCTTTCTTTCTTTCTCTTTCTCTTTCTCCTTTCTTCCTTCTTCCTTCTTTCTCTCCCTTTCTTCTTTTCCTTTTCTTGTCTCTTTCTTCTTTCTTTCTTTCTCCTTCCTTCCCTCTTCCTTCTTTTTTCTCTCCTTTTTTTTCTTCTTTTCCTTTTCTTGTCTCTTTCTTTCTTTCTTTCTTTCTTCTTTCTCCTTCCCTCTTCTTTCTTTCTTTCTCTCCCTTTCTTCTTTTCCCTTTCTTTCTTCTTTTCCTTTTCTTGTCTTCTTTCTTTCTTTCTTTCTTTCTTTCTCCTTCTTTCCCTCTTCCTTCCTTCCTTCCTTCCTTCTTTCCTTCCTTCCTAGAGACAAGTATGATTCTCATTTAGATTTTCCAACTAGCATCCTTCTATTCATCACTCCATCAGCAGAGGCAACATTCTTCTAGGGACTGACCTTTGGAAACTAGGGTGAATCTGAAATATGTGGATTTTAATGGATATGTGAATTTGAAATATCACATAAATTTTTAAATAACTCATTTTTTCTGGTTATAACAGGAACTTCTGCTCATTGAGGAAATATTAGAAATCACAAAGGAATATAAAGAGGAGCACAACAGTTACCTCATCGCTAACTACCACAGATGTAACATATTTCTCTCTCTTTCTCTGTCTTTGGTTTGGCCAGGATCCCCACCAGAAACCAGAAAGAATCTTTCCAAGACCACTTAAAAGGCCGAAATCAAGCCTAACTTGCAACCAATTCTGAAGAAAGTTGAAATTTTCTTTCCTTTTAATGAGTGCAAACCAGTGCAACCAGGAAACCCAAAGGTATTCACTCTCCAGAAGTGAATGATTTAATATTTGACTAGGAAGCCCACGGCATGGTTCAGAATTCTAGGAGAATAAAAATGTAGTGTGGGTTTTAAATACGTCTGTAAATTCTTTGCCATTTGCCATTCCTTCTATCAAGAGAGAGAGTCGGATTCCTCTCCCCTTGAATATAAACAGGCCTTAGTGACCCAGTTTCTTGAAGGTCCTTCCAGAGATTTTTAAGCACTTGAAAAAAATATACGTATGTACTTCCCCCCTCCTTTTTACACATCGCTAGATACTTTGATTTTTTTTTTTTCAGCCATCAGTACATTTTGGAGATCTTTCATTCTTTTTCAGAGTTGAACAATATTGCTTTGTCCAAGTCCCTTTGTAATGGACATTTAGATAGTCTCTGATCTTTTGCTCCTACAATGTTGTGACGAATAATCTGGCATATACATCACTTTGCATATATGTGAGTATAACTGCAGGATAAAGGTCTTGAAATGGAATTGCTGGGTCAGAGGGGAGGCACATTTGTAATTCTAATAGATATTGCCAAACTGACCTTTGCAGCCTTTCAATTTATTTCCTCTCCAGTGATAAATGAGTTCCCCATACTTCAGGCCTCACCAACCCAGGACCTTATTGGACTTTTGGATCTTTGCCAGTCTGAGTGACCAAAAATGTCTCTCAGGGCAGTTTTAATTTGTATGTTGTTAACAAGTGATGTTGACCATATTTCATATGGTCAAGAGCCTTTTCATATTTACTTTTCTGTGAGCTGTTTATATCCTTGGCTGACTTTTGAATGGCTTGATCGTCTTTAAAAAAAATGAATTTGGACTCAACCTATTGGGGAAATTGAGACGTTGTCTATGATGGGAGAAGTAGAAATTTCCCCCCGATTTGTTGTCTTTCTGACTTTATTCGTAACACTTATTGTATGGAAAGGTTTTATTTTATTTTTCCATAGGAGAATGTATTATCTTTTCTCTTGTGGCTCCTCAATCTTACGTCACAGTTGGAAAAGTCTTCCTTATTCTAAAATCACTAGATAATTTTCTTCTGCTTTTTTCTTCTACTTTGGGGTTTTAAGTTTTTACATTTGGAATTTATCCAGGTGTAGGGTATAATCCAAATTTCTTTTTTCTTTTTTTTTTTTAAATTTTTTTTTCAACGTTTATTTATTTATTTGGGACAGAGAGAGACAGAGCATGAACGGGGGAGGGGCAGAGAGAGAGGGAGACACAGAATCGGAAACAGGCTCCAGGCTCCGAGCCATCAGCCCAGAGCCCGACGCGGGGCTCGAACTCCCGGACCGCGAGATCGTGACCAGGCTGAAGTCGGACGCTTAACCGACTGCGCCACCCAGGCGCCCCTAAATTTATTTTTTCAAGACAGCTTCTATGCTGCTTCAGCACCACTGATCAAATAATACACTTTCTCCTCACTCGTTTGAAATGTCAACTATGTATGTATTTTGGCTTATTTCCACATTCTCTGTTTTGTTCCATTGATTTGTCTGTCTGCTCTGAAGTAGTTTCATATTTTTTAGTTGTTACTGTCTTAGAACATGTTTTCATATCTGGTATAATATTCCCCATTCCTTGCCCTTTGTATTCAGATAAATCTTATTTATTTGTTCATATGAAGTTCTGAATCACCATATCGGCATTTTTAGACCAATATCCTTAACACTTTGCTGATATGGCCACCTTGTCTCAAAGTGCTTATCTCTTTCACTCTCAATATTAAGTGGTTCTTACCATTTGATCAGAGGCAATTTTAAGGGACACAACTTCCTCTATTCTCTGAAAATGGAAGTATTAGCAAGATAAGGCAAAGAAACCATGCATTCGGTGTGCTTGGTCTTGGCGCATGTCTGCAGAGTTTAAATCCATCACTACTGATAGGGGCGGATCTCAGGAAAGTGTTAGCGATGTCCTCTATCTGGCATGGAAGTCTGTAGCACATTGCAGTCTCTACCCACACACTCTCCACTGATCTTTCCCTGCCTAGACATGGATTTCCATACTCGTTTACTCATCAGCTATTTTGGGGGAACCCACCATGTTGCTAGGCAGTGTTCTAGAAAACGGCAATGCAGTAGTGTGCGAAAGAGACAGAAAGAATGGCTGCCCGTCTGGATGGTGGAATTTACTTTCTAGAGGGCTGATGGTCACACAAACACACACACACACATAAAATAAAACTGTACTCTTCCATTACCAAATCCAGGTCAAGAGCCCCTGACCCACGTCCCAGACACCCATCGTTCTTGGCTCCTCAGACTTCCTTGCCTCTTATTTTGACCGCGGTACTCTGGCTCTCCTTTGGGGAACCGTCCCTCCCACCTCTGGCTCTCTCGGAGCCTACAAGAGTACTTCACACCCTTGAGATTTGTGACTCGTTCGGGCATATGTAACATATGAAACCAGAAGAATGAGAGCCCAGGACTTTTTCTGGAATCATTGAAGAACAGGCATTCTTTACACTGGGTGTAAAGCTCACAGAAGGCAAGCTGTACTTTCTGTGGCTGTCTCAATCGTCCTTCAAGTGTGGAAAGTTTTTAAAGAACGAAGACAACACAGAAGAGAGCAAGACCAAGACATTTCACGTCTATTTTACAGACCGAACTCCTTGATCCACCTCGTCTCAAACCTAGATCTACACTTAGACTTTTTCAGTTCCATGAACCGCCGATTGTCAGCTTGAACCCATGAGATCCTACTGATTTCCTATTCTTAGAATTTTGCTTTATGATGCACACTGTGTGCCCTTGCATGTGAACTGTGAAGCTATAAGCATTGTTTTAAACGTTTTTCTCCATTGTTCTTTCCCGGGAGTAACTGGGTACCCGCTTTACTACTGTTTGCCCATTCTACGCCAGGTCTGGTTTTGCCGCGCCACCAAAACTGAGTCAAAATTGGGAAAGGCTGGCCTGGAAGAACCCTGCCTAGGTGTGGGTGTTCCCGGGGCTCAACTAGGCACAGTGGTCCTTCCAAGATGATCTGTCCAGGTTGCCATGTTGAAGGAATAGTACAGAAACAGCAGCCAGGAAGCCAAGCTATGGTTGGGAGCTGGCCATTGGTTGCTCTGTGGATGGAAGTAAAAGAGCCAGCCAGAGAGCAAGATGAAAAGCAGGACAAGAATGAAAATGAGTCATTCAAGGCCCGAGGTAGGGCATGAGCGTGTGAAATGGATAGGTCTTAGGGCCTAAGTCTGGAAACCCAAAACACCCAATGGATGTTTTGTCATGGAGTGAACACTTGAAGGGAGCAAGCTGGACAAGGCAATAATGACGTAGTGCATGCTTGAGTTCTTCTCTTTTCCACACTTGAATATCCTTCAAAGTTCCCTCGAACA